AGTCTCATTTCCTAATCATTCTACTATCCGTTCCCACCTTGCCCCACCAACCACGCTGACAAACCACCGTTTTGAAACGGCCACCCCCCGTTCACACAACACCAGTGCCAATCCAAACGGGCGCCGAGGTAGCAAATGAACTTGTCGCTGTTAAAGACCCGCTCGCATGCTGCCTGCACATAGCCCACACCAACAACATTAAGCGAGGGCCTAGCGGCAATCATAGTCTGTTAGCCAACACTTCCAAGAAATATGGGTATCTGAGGTATTGATAGCAAGTACTTACGCGTCTTCGCACGCCCAGTGCTCCGTAATCTCGAGCATGTTCAGCAACGGGTCGAAGCGGAAGTCTGCGGTAGTACTGGTTCCCTCGGAAGACGTGCAGCTGCCCGCAAAAGCGCCATCCTCGCCTTCCGAGGGTGAGCAGTTGAATGTATTGCCGTTTGCCGAACTCTTGAGCGTGAAAGATGGGCCTGAGTCTTCGCTCAGCTTTGGGTCGATCGGCGAGGCCCCGGGCTCCATCTTGAAGCTGCGTTGCCAGTTCTCCATCCTCCACGACTGGTATTCCTTCGATGTGTCGACACATGTTGGGCTTGCATTCTCGGAACCGGGAACCAACGCGGTTGCGATATTGAGGCTGGGGCGGGTCCCGGAATCCGTGCTCTTTGGGACGCAGTGGCTGCTATCATCTGCTGTTGTGCAGTTGACGTCGAGAGTGATTGACCCAGTGGCTAGCCCCTGAGATCTGTTTGCTGAGGTCAGCCCGGAACCATGAGAATGGGAAAATCACAATCGGTGCAGGGATCTACATGGAATCTTACCCAGCTGCGTCCGAGCAGGTGAACGTGTGAGCCAGGTACATGGTCTTGTTCTCCCAGTCAACCGCAAACGACACGGTATTGTCGGGTCCCGGCACCAGCGCCGGTGTAGATGCAGTCCGCCCATATGATATTACTTTCGCCTTGGGTACCACCCGGCCCAAGCCTTCTGGGCCACTGCCCAACGCACTCGTACAATGGCGTTCCGTTGCTGCCCTGGAGGCTGGCCGCAATGGTAGCAAGGTCATTCTTCTTGCTTGGATCCGGGCCGTCATATCTTACATCGCCTAGGCGATACTGAAAATTCCCTCCATTGGAGCCGCCACATGGTCGAGCGGCGTTGACACCAGACGGGAGGTAGATGGCATCGGCCGTGGCCAAAGCAAAGGATACGAGATGGTTGCGCATTGTGAACACCGTAGGGAGTTTGATGGATCACGTCGACAACTGAAGCGGGCTGCGGGTCGAATCTAAATGTAATAACAAAAGATAGAGGGGGGGGGACTGCCCATGGAAAAGTCCAAGATAACTATATTGTTTAGCCTCATTCTGCCAGATTGCCTGCGTAGCCGGCCCGTGTGGCTATGTGGTAGAGAGGGGTTGCTATTGACCGGGTATTACCAATCCTACGAACTGCTGCAGCCCGGTCTAGTTTCTAGAAGGAATAGAACTGCCGAATTCCAGGAAGTCCAATCTAGGCTCCACGTGCACAAAGATTAAACGCCCGGGCATACCATGGAACGGCATCGGGTTCCTTTACCCCTGGCCAGGATGGAACGCTGGTGTAATTTAGGACTTGGAGGCACCAGCCTCTTAGCTCCGGGGGTATTACTCGGTTCCCGGTTTGCGTTCGTTCATCGTACCCCTTACTACCTCGGTCTTTGCTAGAACTTCCTTTTACGCGTTTAGCTTCAACGATTTCATTGTTTCAGCATCTCACCAAGATGAAGCTTAGCGCACTATCCGCCGCGCTTCTTGCGCATGGGGCCACGGCCCAACAATGATTCGATTCAGCTGCTCACAGCTCGTTGTGGCCCGTATGGACCCCCTTGTAAATCCAGAGCTGGCACAATCCCCTCACGTCCATCAGGTTGTGGGAGGCAATTCGTTCGGCGTCAGCATGGACCCAGAAACCCACGATCTCGTCGAGCAGTCCACTTGCACTAGCTGCACCTTCTCGGAGGACTTCTCCAACTACTGGACGGCCGTATTGTACTTCCGCGCACGCAACGGCACCTACAAGCGTGTGCCTCAGTTCCCCAACGTGGGACTCCGTGCCGATGTATGTTGAAATTGTCTTTTGTAGCCCCTTTTTACCTATCAGGTCTCACTTCATAAAAGAACCAGACATGGGAAAGCTGATCATCCCCGTAACAAAGGGAGGAGTGACAGTGTACTACATCCCCCCCTACGACGGCAAAACGACCGTCACGGCCTTCAAGCCCGGTTTCCGCATGCTCGTCGGAGACGCCGGCCTGCGCGAAGCCAAAGGCATGCAGAAGCAGCTCTGCCACCGCTGCCTGGGCGCCGAGTACGACCAAGGCGGTGCCCCCTGCACCGGAACAGACTCGCAAACCCTGCCGAAGGGCTTCTGTGCGGGCGGCATCCGAACCACTGTGACTTTCCCGACCTGCTGGGACGGCAAGAACATCGACAGCCCCGACCATAAGAGCCATGTTGCCTACCCGGCAGTTGGGAGCTTTGAATCAACGGGGACTTGTCCTGAAACGCACCCTGTTCGGCTACCTCAGCTCATGTACGAGGTTATGTGGGATGTGCGTATCTCTTTCTTTATCTGTACTTGTTGGACTTTGGCTCACGACAGATAGACCACGCAGTTCAACGACGAGGCCCTGTGGCCCGAGGATGGCTCGCAACCATTCGTGTGGAGCACTGATGATTCGTGAGTACCTCAACGCTTCTTCAGAGCAGTGATAGGTAACTGACTGAACCCCGGTAGCGTCGGATACACTCAGCACGGTGACTACATGTTCGGTTGGAAGGGCGACTCACTCCAAAGGGCGCTGAATGCCCGTTGTGGTAATGCTGTCTGCAAGGAACTACGGACACAGACGTCAGAGGAGGCCATGCGGTGCACCATCCCGCAGAACATTGCCGAGCCAGTGGACGGCTGTAAGTTGGCATTGCTAGTTTGTGAAGGGCCGTGCAACCATACTAACATATTTACCAGGGCTCGAGAAGATCCCCGGAATGGGAATGGTGGACGGAGAGACAAACTAGAGTCTTTGCGTGGATTCCGGGGTTGCGACCTTTGGACCAGTCATCGCTCTTAAGGCCACCTGGCTCACGGCTAGGACTTCATTGGGAGCTGGGACCGGCGAGGTCGCATGGTTTCATGTCTAGATAACGCTATTATTGATAATGACCATGTTGGATCTACCTCGTTGCCAGTCCTAAAGCACATCGACTGTCGTCCGCCATGCAGGGTACCCGGGTACGTTCAAACTAACAGGTTGAAATCTCAACGTTGTACATTACAGGTATCAGTTGCATGCTTTATACCTAAGTTAGCGACTGTCATTTTCAGGCCAGCCCCCGAGTGATGGTGGACGGGCGTGGAACGTCATTGTGGCATTAAATTAAGTAGACAATAAGTGATGTCTCCCCCGTGCCTAATTGTTGTATCTTGGCCTAACCGAATAGCTCTCCCGGCTTCAATACACCTCTTTCGTTGCAATAGCCAAAATAGCCGCCTTGTGGTTTAGAAAACCATACCCCTAGTCTGGATAATCTTGGCAACATTAATGTTCTTAATCAGCAGCACCCCAACAAAGGCCAGAATCATAAAAGATGTTCCGGCAGCAAGCATCCTCGTCTGGGCGTAACCGTACGCTTCCTGGATGCCCCTCCTCTCGAGAGTTTCTATCGCGTAACCGAGCTGAACTTCCAGATCCGAGTAGATAGATTCCAGGTCTGGGACGGCCGACTCGGGCAAGAACCGCGATAGGGCACCGTGGAAGGTGTTGGTCCAGATAGAGCCCGACACGGTGGCGCCGATGGCGCCGCCAGTGGTGCCGACCACGTAGAGCAGTGACAGCGCAACTGCCACGTGTTGGTGGTCCACGGCCGCGAGGATAGCCACCTGCTGGATGATGATGAAGATGCTCCCGCCGATCGAGATGAAGACCTCGCACATGATCAGGTAACCAACAGACTGATCGGGGCGGCGAAAGTAGATCATCAGTCCTTGTGCGAGGATGTAGATGGGGACGGCAATGTACAGCAGCCACTTGAAGTGGCCGGTCTTGTGGATAGAGTAGCCGACGATGAACAAGAGCACGCCCGACACGATGCTGAAGGTGTTGTTGACGTACCCGGCCTCGGCCACGGTGAGGTTGTTGACCACCTGGAGGAAGGAGGTGAAGTAGTTGGCCCAGCAGTAGTAAGAAATTTGGTATGTGGCTCCAAGCAGACAAGTACCTAGTACTGTGCGATCCGACAAGATGCTGAAGTTGAGCATCGGCGTGGGGGCTAGGAACCACTCGTAGAGGACGAAGGCGCAAAGGACGACGAAACCGACTACAATCATAGCGATGATGTAGTCCGATGCCCAACCGTTTGGCGCTTCGGCAGCAAGGGTAAAGGGAAGGAGGAATACGGTCAAGCCGGCCGAGAACAGTATGACACCAAGGGCTGTTTATTGCATTAGTTAGGATATCTTGGGCCAATTTTGCCTGTGGATGGAGGGGCCTGATGGGCTGGAGCAATCACTCACCGTCAAACTCGACAACGTAGTGCCATATGCTCTGCAGCCATGTCCGGTCGCTGCTTTCGCCGGCTAGGATGCCTTCTTTTTCGGCCTTTCGGAGATTGAACTTGAGTACAAAGTACAAGGGAGAAGCGACGATGGGAAAGATGATGGCGAAGCAGCCGAAACCCCATCTCCAGTTAATGTTGTTGAGAAAATCTTCAGAGGCCTTCGGGCCGGCGAAGGCGGTAATAATGTAAGGAGATGACGTAAAGGCGTAGGCTAGACCACGGTTCTTGAGCTTGGATGCATCAGCGGTGATCACGTCGACGCAGTACGTCATGCCGCTGAAGCCGAGGCTGTAGAAGACCTGTCAGGAGAGATTTGAAGGTCAGTACAACTGCAAAACCGCAAGGCAAAATGTGGTAAAGGTCGGCTTACATATGCAGCACAGAAGGTGGGGAGGTTGTTACACGCGGCCATGAGGACTAAGCCCAGGGTCGCGAAAAACACCATGATCATAAAGCCCTCAGCTCTCCCCCAAAGATCCAAAATCTTGGATAGAGGAATAAACACGGCGGCCGTCATGGAGTTGGCAACAACGTAAATGACGTTCAACAGAGAATGGGATTCGAAGTCGCTTGTAACGAAGGGCACCAAACTCGAGAGGATGGCGGACTGGAAGGCATTGACGAGGTAGAGCAACCAAATACTACACACCCAGGGTTAGATGGTTATTTGACAAGGATTTGGCAACGGAAACAGAAAAGCACAATGAATGGGTGATGATCGTACTTGAAGAAGACTGCAATCAGGGTTGCTTTGGTCCAGCTCATGGTGACGGCCTCAACCTGTTGAACACCCCGTTGCATGTCTTCGGCAGGATGCTCCGCCGGTGATTCGCCGCCATCGTTGACAACCGCGGCATCATCGGTGACGGCGTCCTTCTCTGTCTTCTCCCCGCCGACGTCAACGGCAGCCCGCGTGCTGGGTTCTTCCTCTGTCGGCGACCGGCGGAACGCCGCCTTGACACCGGATAACAGTGCCATAATGCTTGAGTTTTGAGTTGGCTTGAGGATGCTGAAGGGGCCAAGCTAAGCGATAGGTCAGACGAAAGGACGGTCGGAGAAGGGATAAGACAGCAATGGAGGAAACCCGGGCGGATTACTGAAAGCCAAACGCGACCGGACGACGGCGGTCAATGGTGATGTTGATGCCGTGTTGTGTTGGTGTTTGCTGAAGGTTGGCGGCCGACCAGAGATCTGGGAACAGCGTGGTATTGCCGGAAATACGGCGCATGCCATGCATTGCAGTCTGTTTCGTGCGAATCCTAGCGCCGTCCCAATCCTGCCTGGCGCTGGAGTACATCTGATAAGATCAGATCATGATTTTGCAAATATTGGTCGCGGGCCCGCACCTTGCTTGGCCTGGCTTGTCTCTTCCTTGGCTTGACTGGGCTCGTACCTTCAGAATCTGTCACTGGCCGCCTCATGTGGCCCCGACATCGGTGGGTATGGAACCCGGGCGGCTGACGATGAGCTCTCATCAGATAGCCGGAGTACACAGTGTGCGGCATCAAACACTTGGCACTGTTCGCGACCCTGATATTTCTTGTCCCACGTGAGTTTTACATAATGAAACAAGAATTGACAAGCTTCGAGCTCATTCCTTCCCACTCCTCCCGAGTCTTGTCCGACTCGACCCACTCGGTTTCCATTTTGGCGGGGTCGACGTGGGTCGTGCTTTCAGGGCGCAGGCAAGCTGCAGGGTTGCAATCTAATCTCTCCATCAGATAAGATCAGAATTTTCAACGGCCCTTGCCCTGGCCTTCCTCGCTTACAACTCGTCACAATTCGACAACCACGTTCATGCATGACCCGTTACGGAGACGAAAAATCAATAGTCTGCTTTGTATCCGCCCACCTAGAGCTTCGAATCCAGCCACATTGGCCGTCGCTTTTCCACAAACGCCCGGATACCCTCGCCAAAGTTGTATCCCTGCACCAACCGAGGATACCACTCGTGCTCCAAGGCCGACACGGCTGTTTCGACATCGCCCTCTTCCCAGCTCATGCGCACCCCCACACGCCCGACAATGAGCGCATCTGGGCTGTTCTGACACATCTCCCGCGCGAGCTTAACCGCCGCCTTCGCAACCTCGCCGCCATCACCTCCAGCAGCAGCACCACCATCCACCAGTCGCGTAACCAGACCCCATTCGGCCAGCGTCTTCGCATCCACGCTACGACCCGTCAGAACTAGGTCCATGGTGCGCTGCAACCCCAGCGTGCGGGCCAGGCGCGGGAGACACCCCGCCACGGGCACGATGCCCCGCTTGGCCTCGGGCAGCGCGAAGACGGCCGCCGAGGACGCGAGCACAATGTCGCAATTGGCAACCATCTCGAAGCCCCCGCCCATGCAGAGCCCGTTGACCGCCGCGATGATGGGCTTCTTGCCGCTCCGCCGCGGCAGCCCCGCCAGGCCGGGCGCACCCATGTCGTTGACCACGCCGGCCTTGTTCATGTCGTTCCATTCTGCTGGCGCGTCAGATGGGGTACGGAAAATGTGAGGGAGGTACATGTAGGTACATTGCGTATTTGTGCGCCTCCCGAATGCTCGGGTGGATGTGGGTGGATTAGGTGGATGTGATGGGGTGGATTGTGTGTGAGTGTGGCTCACTTACCGTGGAGATCCGCCCCCGTGCAAAATGCTCGCCCCACCCCGGTGATGATACCCACCCACAAGCTCTCATCTCGGTCCAGCTGCTTCCAGACCTCGGCGATCTCGGCGCTCGTCGCCTTGTTGATGCAATTGAGCTTCTCGGGTCTGTTGATCGTGACCTGGATAACGTGTTCCGCAGGGTACGACACGTCGAAGTGTTGAAAACGGACGGTTGGTCGTTCTCCTGGCATTGTGACGTTGAAAGAGGTGTGTTGGGAAAGTTCTTGGTAATGGCTGCCGGGCGGAACGTGGTATCCCTTGACGATTGGTATCCTTCATTTGGCCCTTTATAGCCTACCGGCTTGTTCAAGGATGAAACATCACTCCCGTGTCCCTCGGTTCACCATAGTAGACTGGGGCTAGTTCTCGGGGCGTCCTGGCATGCGTCTTCCGGGCATCCGGTTCTGTGCCTTTCATCCATGCATATGCGATTTCGGGTGAACCTAGCTGCGACAATGTTAAAGTGCTACCGGAAGCTGAAGCGGCGTGTCGCTGCGTTCAGCAATCTTTAAGTCCCTTTTCAGGTGGTTTTTCCTCGGCTTGACTTTGTTCTGCTCAACAATAGTGAAGAATACCTCGTGGTCACGGAGTCGTCGCCATGACATCAACGACACTGAAGTATCCTCCGGTGAAGCTGCCCCACCCGTTCTTGACGGCATACCGGGTACAGACCGTCAAAGGATCAACGCCTACCAAGCTTGTCTTGACATTAGACAAACACCAACCAAAAGATGGGCGTCCCCTTCACCAACCGCTCCATCTCGACTCTCTATCGTGGCTCGATCTGAGCACTCCATCACAAAATGATCGTCCATCCATCTCCGACAACAGCCCTTGGGCACGAGCACGCCGAAGCCCATCGACTGTCTTTAGTTGGACGGGAGCCAACACTCCCTCTTTGGGCCCAATCTGGAACGTGGTCCACGCCATTTTCCTGGCGCATCCGACCGCCGAATACTTTAGGTTGACACTAGACGGGAAAGGGAAAGACGCCGTCCGAGAGGAGCTCCTCTCCACAGGTTTAGCGATACCTCATCCGTCGCCACGCTGGGATGCTCGAGGCCCTCCGGCCGGGACGCGGATGCCCGTTGATACGGGCGCAGACGAGCTGTTGGTGCTCCGAAGTTCCTTCTGGCAGGGTGCTGCTTCACCAATGGGCCCGCGGCCGATATGGGTAGTGGGCGATGGCACAGACAGCCATTTGCAAAGGCCACTGGCAGAATACCCCATCATGCCCGAAAACTTCCACATTACGAACAAGTTCCCCGACGGGGAGCCAGTATTTACACGCCACCCCGTCCGTCGACCAAAACCACGCCCGGGATCCATCGTCTACAGCCGTTACATACCCGAGCTGGACACACATTTCTCTCTGGAAGCGGTGAACTGGCAGGATGCGGAACACTTGAAGCTGTTCAACACATGGCAAAACGACCCACGCGTCGCGGCCGGGTGGAACGAGACAGGGACGCTGGATCAGCACCGTGAATATCTGCGCAAGCTGCACGAGGACCCTCATGTCCTGTGTCTGTTCGGGCGCTTCGACCAGTCGCGCTTCGCATACTACGAGCTGTATTGGGCCAAGGTAGGGAGGCCCCTTTGCACCCCTGGCAATCTCTTACAAACCGCTGACCTCCCTCCCCCCTTGCAGGAAGACCATTTCGGCGCGCACTACGACGCGGGCAACTACGACCGCGGCCGGCACTCACTCGTCGGCGACGCCTCGTTCCGCGGGCCCCAGCGCGTCAACGCCTGGTACTCGAGCTGCATCCACTACTGCTTCCTCGACGACCCGCGTACCGGCAACGTTGTGGGCGAGCCCAAGGCCACCGGCGGGACAATTCTCACGTACGAGAACGCTCAAGGGTTGGTCATTGGAAAGTATGTGGATTTGGGGCATAAGCGGTCGGTGTTGTCGATTTGTAGCAGGGAGAAGTGGTTTCAGCTGTGTCCGTTGTTTTGGGATGGGCGGGAGAAGCCGTTGGAATCAGCGGATCGGGCTGCGTGGAATGCGAAGCTGTAGGCGCCCATCTTCTTACACAAACCTAAGCAGGTAGGTAGGTAGGTACCTTTAGCGTCGGTACGAAATCAAGGTGGCCTGGCGAGAATATTCGTAACATAATTGTTTATGGCGGCCATCCTTCGCGTAGCAACTGTGCACCCGGTTGTCCAACACCGGACCAGATTTACTGGGACATTTTGCATGTCGTTGGCCTTGGTTCCCAACCTCTGCGGACAAGCCTCGCCCAGCTCTCACAATGCAACAAACGACCCCTTGGCAGAATGCCCACATGCACTCACTGCAACCCTTGCTTCTTCCCCGACGGCTGATGAAGCCAGGAACCCGGGATGTGGGATGGGTGCACGTTGAGCCGACAGAAGAGCCAAGCCATGCATATACCCGAAAATCACAAGAGTCACATCAGAAAAGTTGGTTTTTTTTTTCTCATGCGGAGTCCGGAGGACCCCTCCCGGGTTATCCCCTTGTTTCCACTCGAACCACCCCCCCCCTTTGACGGCGCCCCACCCAGCAGATTATCTGATCATCTCGCATGACCCGATGTCGGCAACGCTGGGTCTAACCCCTTACGGACATTCTTTTACACGGGTAGCTAGTCCAGCCGGATGGCATGCCAGCCACCTTGGACGACCCGTCTTGCAGCCCTGAAGCCAGGCCACACCAGGGAAAAACCTCACCGACGACAACCTGACGGCAGCAGGCCCAGCGCCGCCATCACCCCCCAAACCACCATGAAGTTCGTCAACACCTTCACGGGCTACGGCCGCCTGCTCCTCTCGGGCAACCCGTCCCGCACCGACCTCTGCACGCTCCTCGCAGCCATCCTCTGCGCCATCGCCTCGGGCGTGCCCTTCCCCCTAATCGGGATCTTCTTCGGCCAGCTCCTCAACGACTTCAACGAAGTCACCTGCCTCGAGCCGACCACCAACTCAGAAGCCCTCTCCCCCAGCGCCGCGGCCACCTACCAATCCGGCGTCAACTCCAAGATCCTCATGATCGTGTACCTGGCCATCGCCCAGTTCGTGACCATCTACGCGCACCTCACCTGCTGGACGCTGTACGGCTCGCGGCTGGCGCAGCGCCTGCGGGAGCGCTACCTGGCCACGCTGCTGCGCCAGGAGCCGTCGTACTTTGATGGCCTGCCGCCAGGAGAGGTGGCGTCGCGGCTGAGTGGGGACATTCAGACGATTCGGTCGGGCACGTCGGAGAAGGTGGGGATTTGTTTGTCGAGCGTGTCGTTTTTTGTGACGGCGTACGTGGTGGCGTTTGTGATGAATGCGGAGCTGGCGGGGATGTTGGTGAGTTTGGTGCCGGCGTATTTTTTTATGTCGTTTGTGGGGAGCCATTATATTGAGAAGTATTCGGGTTTGGTGGCCGATCATGCGGCGAGGGCGGCGTCGGTGGCCTCTGAGGCATTGAGCAATGTGGTGGTGGTGCAGGCGTTTGGGGCGAATACGAGGCTGGAGGGTAAGTTTGCCGAGGCGCTGTCTGCGTCGAAGAGGGAGGGGTTGAAGAAGGCTACGGCGGTGGGGATACAGTCCGGTGTGCTGTATTTTGTGGCGTATGGTGCGAACGGCCTGGCGTTTTGGCAGGGGAGTCGGCGGATCGCGGATGCGGCAGGTCAGGAGTCAGGGGGTGCCACCGTGGGCGCGACCTTTACGGTTATTTTCATTCTTATTGAAGGTTCGTTGGGTTCCGTCCCTTTTCGAGGATGCTCTGACTAACATTGATACAATAGCCACTTTACTCCTGAGCCAAATTGCCCCTTTTGTCCACCTTTTCATCGCGGCCGTGGCATCGTTTCGGAAGCTGCGCGAAGAAATGGATCGGGAATCGCAGATCGATGGCACGGCTATGTCAGGGGTAAAGCTTCCGGCCCAGGAAGATCCGGAGGCCAAGTTCGGGTTTGAGCTTAAGGATGTTTCCTTTACCTACCCCTCGAGGCCTGAGATCACCGTGTTGGACAAAATCGACATTAGCATCCCGGCCAACAAACACACCGCCATTGTGGGCCTCTCGGGGAGTGGCAAATCTACTGTTGCTGGGTTGGTTACAAGACTGTACGACCCTGCAAGTGGACGAGTTTGTTTCGCTGGCCATGACCTTCGCGAGATCAACGTCCGCGAGCTGAGGAGTTTTGTCAGCTTGGTCCAGCAGGAACCATCCCTCCTCGACCGGTCACTCTTGGAGAACATCGCCCACGGATTGGTCAATTCCGGTAGCTTGGCCCATGATCATCTCAAGACAACGCTACTCGGCCCTGATCTTGCCGATTTGGCGGGTAAGGTTCGAGAGGGCGAGGATCTCGCAACAGCCGCGGAAGCGTTCGGCCCCAACGTCGTCGAGATCGTGACCCTGGCGCAAAACGCGGCAAAACTCGCAGATGCTGATGACTTCATAACACGGCTGAACCACGGCTACGGCACAGTCGTTGGTTCCAGTGGACGGTTAATCAGTGGTGGCCAAAAACAAAGGGTAGCCCTGGCTCGGGCCCTAGTCAAAGACCCATCTGTGCTCGTCCTGGATGAGGCCACCGCCGCCCTCGACTCGAGAAGCGAGGACCGGATCCAGCGGGCCATTGCCAACATCTCGGCTGGCAGAACCCTGCTTACCATTGCCCACCGCCTTTCCACCATCACCGGTGCGGACAACATCATTGTGATGCACAAGGGGGTCGTGGTGGAGCAAGGTGACCACGCCACGTTGATGGCTAAGGACGGAACCTACGCCGAGATGGTAGAACTGCAGACCCTCGGGTCAGTAACTAGGAAGGATTCGACCTCTGGCAGTACCACTAGCACCACTAAAGTGGATCAAACGACCTCCAAGGATGGACTAGAAATTGGTACGAACAGCGTCGCGTCCTGCAGCGAAGCCGGTGACAAAGAGGACGACGAAAAAGCGACCCCCGCAATCGAAGCCCCTGTTGCGGTGTCCGCCAAAGGAGGAGACGAAGAAGAACCCGAAACCCCGTCGACATCACTCTGGGCCTTGGTAAAAGGCTACTCCCCCGCCGTCCGGCCACACCTCCTTGTAATCGCCCTCGCCCTCCTCGGCTCCATCCTGGTCGGCGGCGCCTTCTCCGGCGAAGCCGTCATCTTCGGCAACACGGTCGACAGCCTCAACATCTGCCGCAGCCCCGACAGCATCCGCGCCAGCGGCAATTTCTTCGGCCTCATGTTCTTCGTGCTCGCCATCATCGAGTTCTTCGCCAACGCCGCCAGCTGGTCGGGCTTCGGCTGGGTGACGGAGCACATCGTCTACTCGGTGCGCGTCCTCTCCTTCCGCTCGCTGTTCGAGCAGGACATCCAATGGCACCAGTCCCACGGCCGCACCCCCACCGTGCTGCTCTCCTACATTACGCGCGACGGCATCGCCCTGGCCGGGCTCAGCGGCTCGGTCATCGGCACGCTGTTCTCCATCACGGCGAACCTGCTAGCCGCCATCATCATGACGCACATCATCGCGTGGCGTATCGCGCTCGTCTGCCTGGCTCTGGTGCCGCTGCTGCTGGGCGCGGGGCTGATGGAGCTGCGCGTGCTGGGGGCGTTTGAGGAGCGCCATGAGAGTGCCTACGCGCGGTCCGTGGATATTGGGACTGAGGCGGTGGCGTCGATCAAGACGGTTGCCGCGCTGGCGTTGGAAGATGAGACGCTTAGGACGTATCGTCGTTCGTTGCGCGGTCCGACGAGGGAGACGTTGAGGGTTACGGTGCTGGCGAGCTTGTGCCAGGCCGTGACGTATTTCTTGGGGAACTGTGTCAATGCGCTGGCGTACTGGTGGGGGGCGAAGCAGATCATTGCTGGGAATGTCACGACGGCGCAGTTCCTCATCGTGGTGTTCTCGTTGCTGGTTAGTGCGCTGCTCTGGAGTCAAATGTTTGCTCTCGCGCCCGAGTTGTCTAGTGCTCGGGCGGCGATGGCGAGGATCCTGGGCTTGATCGAGATTGGGTCGGATGGGATGCAGGGAAATGTTCGGGTGATTGAGGCTTCTGCCGCTGTGTCGGAGCCTGCGTTAGAGGAGAAATCTCTCGAGGCAGTGGCCGGTCGGGGTTCGCCTGGCAGCAACGAAGCTGCTAGCGTGCAGTTTCGAGATGTCTACTTCTCTTATCCCGCCCGTCCGGATGCACAAGTCCTAAAAGGCCTAAGCATTGATATGAAGCCGGGAAGCTTTTGTGCCTTGGTTGGTCCGAGTGGCGCGGGAAAGTCGACCATCATCTCCTTGGTTGAACGGCTATACACCCCACAATCTGGAGCTGTCCTTATTGATGGGGTTGACGTGACGAAGAGCCGGGACACGTCTTTCCGGGATGAGATTGCGCTGGTGCCCCAGGAGAGCATGCTTTTTGAGGGAAGTATCGCCTTCAATATTGGACTCGGTGCTAGGCCAGGCCAAGAGGCCACCAAAGAGGACATTGTGGAGGCGTGTAAGTTGGCCAACATCCACGACGTTATTGAGGCCCTTCCCGAAGGATATGAGACGCTCTGTGGGCCAAGTGGTGCGAGATTCTCAGGTGGCCAGAAGCAGAGGCTGTCGATTGCTCGTGCCCTCGTGCGGAAGCCGAAGCTGTTGATTCTGGATGAGCCAACTAGTGCCTTGGATGCCGAGTCAGAAAGACTGCTGCAAGAGGGGTTGGAAAAGGCAGCTGTGGGCATCACCGTCATTGCTATTGCTCACCGGTTGCGCACTATCAAGAAGGCAGATCGTATCTTCTGGATAGAAGACGGCCGGTGCGTGGACTCTGGAACACACGAAGAGTTGTTTGAGAAATCTGCCGGTTACAGGGAAAATGTGATGCATCAGACGGTGGCTGAGTAGGTAGCTGAGTCTTTTGGAGTGTATTGTTAATGGGATAAAAATGGTGTGGGAATTGTAATAATAGCTCTAGATACCCTTTAATTGGCATTTTACAGATTTCTCAAGCGCTTCTTTTTTTATTTGTCAGAAGATCTTGCTTTGGCGGATTGTGGTAGGTGGGTGAACTGCTTGTGGTTTGCAGCGAATATTTTCCAGGTTTATGGAGATGCGAGCTGGAAAAGGGGTAATTAAAGGGGCAACAACATCAATAACATTGGAAGCACCAAGTAACTAGTTAAAATTTATGACAACAACATAGGATAACTTTTATGGGAGGAGAAAGTGATTATAAGAAAACCAACTTATGTTAAAGAAGCATGCCGATATCAATCTAATTTCCCCGGTGCGTACTTAGAGACACTTCTTAGCCCAACACAGCCTCTTCTCCCCCCTCAACCAACTCTCTCACTGCACCAGCTAACTCTGCCAACATCTCATCCACAAACACCACATCCGCCTCACTCCCCACAATGCCGACATTCAACTCCCCACCCTTAAAAAAGGACACCACCTTCAACGGATACGCCGCATCCCCATGGGGATTCCACACATCCACCTTACACTCCCCCCCCCCAAACGGCATAACATCAAAGTCGTCCCAATCCTGATGATGCACCACCGAATCAAAGAACACCCCCCCTCTCCCCTCCCTCAGTCTTCCCCTCCCAACCAACCCTCCCCGCAATAGGCCCCACCCCCACAAAATCCCACGCCAACCCCTCCGCCCCCTGCCGCTGCACGAACCCCAATAGCTCCCCCGCAGTCCACCCCCACTGGAAGGGCACGTGCACCGGCGTGAACTGGTAGCAGGGCCCCATGGCATGCTCGGCGCCGGGGGTCAGCTCGGACGCGCGGCCGGACGTGATGCTGCCGAAGGTGACGTCGGTGGTGCGCAGGCGGCGCGCGAGTACCAGCGCCCAGGCCGCGGTGAGGAGGGTGGCGGTGGTGGTGGTGGGTTGGGGGTGGATGGTGGGGAGGGCGGTGGTGTGGAAAATGGCTTTGGTGGTGGGGGATGGAGGTGGGTGGGTTTGGCCGGGGAGGATGGAGGGTGTGGAGTTGGAGAGGAGGGTGTTCCAGTAGGTGAGGGCTTGGGTTTGGGCGGGAGAGGACCGGGTTTGCGTGATGTAGGTGGAGAAGGGGGAGGAGGCGGTTAGTGGGTTGCCGGTGTAGAGGGCATCGAGGTCGCGGAGGAGGAGGGGCAGGGAGACGCCGTCGTATTGGGCGTGGGAGAGCCCGATGGCGAGACACTCCTGTCCGTCTTTGCCGTGGGCGAGGAAGATGTGGAGGAATGGCGAACCTAGCCGGAAGTTGTCGGATGCGATGTAGGATGTGCAGACGCCGTGGACGAACTCCTCCAAGTCTTCTTGGTTGGCTTCCTCGACGGCAACTGCAATTTCCAGGTCCTTTAAGACAACCTGGAGGAAAGTCGATCCATGCTCGATAAACACCGTCCGCAGGATGTCGTGCGCTTGAATGAGGTTGTGGTGGGCTTTTAATAGCTTTCCTCTGTCAAAGCCGCCCTTGTCAGAATAGAGAAAAGTGTACTGAACCGAAGTCCTTGGCGGTTCGAGGGTAGCCCTGATATCAAGGGCTTGGGGGTCTGTCACCGGATACACGTCTTGGACAGTCCAGTTCGCATCCCCAAGTTGTGGTCGGACAACCTCAGTGACGAACTGATCCACGTTAACCGAGTCCAGCGTCGAGAATGGCTGATACGTCTGCCCGTTTTGGGGCATCGTTTTTGCCGGCTCTGTTCGGCCAGACACACCATTCTTGTTCACCTTGAGAACCTTCGCTGCATCACCTAAGCGCATGTGGCGGAAGATATCTCCCACGGTAAGTCCGTGTCCCTGGGAGCGAAGCCGCGAGACCAACTTCATGGCTAGGACCGAGTCTCCACCAAGACGGAAGAAGTTGTCGTCGGTATCGATTTGATGGAGTTCGAGCCCGAGGACCGTGGCCCAGGAAGACCGTAGAATATCTTCAGCCGCTGTTGCTGTGGTTGGCGCGGAGGACGAAGCCACCTTCCAGGCCTTCTGGAAACTATCGCGGAGTTGGTCGAGGGTCCGTTCAGGGATTCCGGAGGCGAGCTGCTGAAGCACAGCGCGGTCGACCTGGTTGTTGTTCGTTGGAAGCTCATCCATGATGAGATAGGCTGAGGGAACCAAATGCGAGGCGAGTGAGTTTTCGGCAAATTTGTCGAGCTTTTTGAGCGCTGAAACGAGAGTGGCAGGAACCGTGGCGGATACCACGGTTGTGAAATCGCCAGAGCTGATGACCTGCTCTTCCGGGATGACATTGATCGTGGGCTCTCCATCAGCCGCCTGCGGTCGCTCCATAAAGACAAGTAGACCTTGCCTTGACGACCCCTGAGATGCCAACACCGCCGTAGCATTAACTGAAGGAGGCAGATAATTCCCCAAGTGGCTCTCAAGCTCAGCCGGAGCCGTGCCATGGCCGTTGGCTTGCGTGTTGCTGTCTTTCTGGCCAACAAACACCAAGCTGCCATCCTCTTGGAGCTTGACAATGTTGCCTGTCGGCTGTACCTTGCCGGTCCGGCCAGAATGCTGCGAGCTTCCAGCGACCATCCAAGCAGGAGAGTCAACAACACAATCCCCTGTTAAGAAGGCCGCCTCAAGCCAAAGCTCGCCTGGACAACCGATCGGGGCCAGCACGGACGGGTTCTCAAGGTCGCAGACCCAAGGGATCGCCGCTCGGGGGTTATAAACCGACCCGGGTTCAACCAGCCCGGCATCGGTGACAAACCTCCCGGCTGTCCCATCCAACGCAAGAGGGGGATCTCTGTTCCACTCCCAGATCTGATCCAAATCTCCCGCCGGCACGCACGAAACCTGATCCAACCCCCTGTCCACATCCCTCGCCAGCTCACCACAAACCATCTCCAACTGCGCCAGCACCCTCTCCATCTCCCTCACCCCAACCACCGCCCCATCAAAGCTCGCACAAACCCTAAAACCACTACCCCCCTTCTCCACCCCACACGCCAACATCAACGGATACGGATTAAAATGCAGCGCCTCCCTGACCACATCCCCCTCGCCAAACCCCAACTCCCCCACCACTCCACCACCCTCCGGCACAGGTTGAATCACCAACCCCATCGGCGCCTCGCACGCATACTGCGCATCGCGACTAACCCTCCGAATATGCTGCATCCCCGCATGCTGGAACGGCGTGCGCGCGAGCACACCCTCCGCCACGCCGCGCAGGTAGGCCGCCACGGTGCAGGTGGCGCGGTCGGGCGGGATACGCACGCGCATGGGGACCGTGGCGATGAGTGGACCGGTGATGGTCTCGACGGCCGGGAGGGGGATGTCGCGGCCGGTGAGGGTCTCGCCGAAGATGATGTCGCGCGTGAGGGTGTGTTGGGCGGCGACGAGGGCCCAGGCGCCGCGGATGAGGGTGGCGAGAGTGAAAGGGAGGTGGGTGGTGGGGAGGGGGATGTAGCGGTCGAGGGTGCTGTTGGGGGTGGGGATGAAGTCGCGGGAGGGGACGCGGGGAAATTGCGGGCCCGTGGCGTTGTGCAGGGCGGTGCGCCAGAAGGATTGGGTTGTCGTGGTGTCGATGGCGCGGATGTGCTGGACGAAGTCGCCCATGGTGGGGAGGGGGTTGGGAGTGGGCGGTTGGGGGGTGTCGTGTAAGGCGTCGCGGACCTTTTCGAGGAGGAGCGGCTCTGACCAGCCATCGTAGACCGCGTGGTGGAGAGTCCAGACCATGTACCGCTCGGTGGGGGAGCTGCGAGGTTCGACGATGGCGTATCGGGCGAGGCTCTGCCCAAATTCCATTCTCTCGTTGCGGTCGTGTTCGAGATACTGTGTCAATTCGCTGCTGGAAGACCGCCATTGGATACTACCCTTGAGTACGACCTGATCGAGGCCGGGGTGGTTACCAAGTTGGACTAGACGAGAGCGTAGAATGGGAGTGGCTGCGACAACCTCGTTCCAGGCACGCTTCCATTCGTCCAAGGTAATATGTGACGGGATGGTTGCAACTCTCTGAGCAATGTAGGGCTCGGTTGACTTGAGAGAAAAGGTGAACAACGATTCCTGCGTTGGCGTGCAGGGGTAGATGTCCTCAATGTTGATTGCCTCTGTCCCACAAATCTGAGATGCCTCGACAATAGCACTATCGGGGGGTTGCGGGACCAAGGAGAAGGCGGATCTTTGCGGTGGGGGACTAGTCTGAGAGTCCCTGAGAACAGTGACAATTGCAGCCATTGCGGAGAGTGTTGGGTTCCCGAAGGTGTTGATGACACTGATGTCGAGCCCCCTATATCTGCAGGCAGACACGAGCCTCATTGCCGCCAGGGAATCGCCGCCAAGGGCAAAGAAGTTGTCGTGAGACCGAATATTCTGCGGGTCGAGCTTCAGTGTTTCGCCCCAGGCCTGCCGCAAGTGTTCCTCCATATCGTTCAGGGGCCGGTCCTCGCCACCGAGGGGCGCGCTCTGCGACGGCCCCGGGTTGGCCGTCATCTGCCGCAAGTCAACGGTAGAACCGAAAAGTTGAAGCTTCCTTCGGTCAGTTTTCCCCGAGATCAAGCTCGGAATCCGGTTGACTGGAATGTAAGCGGTTGGGACCATGTAGCGCGGCAACACCTCGGCAACCTCCTTGTCAGCTTTCGACACAGCTTTGCGTAATTCTCCAGGAAGTTCAATACTCTCCAGCTCAACCTCTTGGCCATGCGCGTTGGCAAATTGGGGAGCCACAAATGCCACCAGAATAGATTGCCCTTGGAAAAACCCCTGAGGAGCAATAACCTCGGCGATCACGGTGGACTCGGCGGGTAACCGTGCTCGCAAATGGCTCTCGATCTCTCCCAGCTCAACCCGCTGGCCACGCAGCTTCACTTGGGTATCTTTCCGACCCACAAACACAATCCTTCCCGAGCCATCAGGGTCGTATCTCCCCAAGTCGCCCGTCTTGTACAGACGTCCTTGGCGGCCCGTATACGGTCCGTGGCCTGCCGTCAACCACGAGGGATCTTCAATAAAAGCAGCGGCCGTCTTTTCCGGATCGTTCAAGTATCCTCTGTCCCACAATAGGACCTTCTACCAGCAGCTCGCCCACGGCCCCAACTGGCATGAGGACATCGTGGTCGTTGGGATCAACCACCCAGATTGCCGCGCCGTTACCAGGTCCAATAGAGATGTAGTCCCTCCCCGTGGCAGCACTGCTGTTGATGGTACAACCAATGGTGCATTCGCAGGGGCCGTAACCAATGATGATGCGCGCGTGCTGGCCCCAAATGTTGACATCCCGTGCTGACACCGTCTCCCCACCGAGGCCGAGGCCATTCGTCAGGGACGCAATGAGGTCGATATCAAGGATCCGGGCTACTGAGGGTGTGATACCGGCGTAGTTGACACGCATCGCTCTCATCGCACCGTTGATGTCGTTCAGCCGGTCCTCGTCGGATGGGATGCAGAGACAACCGCCGTTGGCTAGCGTGAGTAGGATGCTGTCGATGCTGACGTCGAAAGCGTAGGACGCAAAGTCGAGGACCCTCGAGCTCTCCGTGTAGCCCACTGCCTTGGCTCTGGGGATGGCGCTGCTCGTGTAGGTCTGATGAGAGATCTTGACCCCTTTAGGCGTGCCGGTACTGCCGGAGGTAAAGATGATGTACATGATGGTTGACGGCGGAACTGGAGGAAGTTCTGCTTCAGGAACCTGTGGTTCTTCTGGATTTGACAAAGTTGTAAATGTCTCCTCTTCTGCTACTGTAAATGTACCGACAGGCAAGATCAACTTTGACAGCTCGTGCTGCTTGCGAGACGAGAGAATGGTTTTGGCTCCGACCTGTTGTGCCATATTCTGAAGGCGAGCGAGAGGGAGAGTGGGATCCATGAGAACCATTGTTGCGCCTGCTTTCATGACAGCAAGAACAGCCACGGTAGCCCATCTTGACTTCTCGAAACAGACAGGTACAGAATCGTGGAACCCGACATTGTGATCATTTACCAGAAGGTGGGCGAGAAATGTCGAATACCTATCCACTTGAGCGAATGTTAAGCTGCCGTCAAACGACGAAATGGCTTCCTTGTCTGGGTGCTTGCGAGCTCGCTCAGATATGAGGTCGTGCATGCAAGAATCGTAGGTTGGGGGCAAAGCGTTGTTCCATTCCCATATCCGCTCAAGGTCATGAGCAGTTGGGCGCAGAAGACTCTGAATGGTCACAGAGGGATTGGCCAGGCACAGTTTGACTGTGTCAGCCAGTGTTTCGACGTGGTGATTCACAGTAAACGGGAGCATATCCTCGCGCTGCCAAACTGGGCGGATCTCAAAGGGGGCATGGCCACAACGGACCTCAAGATGCAACAACAGCTTTGGGGTTGTCAGCGCTTGATTCATGTTATTGATACAAGGGACGAGTTAATTGGGCACCCACTTCGTCTTGGTCAGTTTTTGTTTTGACTCGTGACAGGGAACCGGTGCTTAAAAGAAGCGACCCTGCGGCGGAGAAAGGCGGGAATTGCGTGGTATAAGCAGCGGAAGCACTGCTAGCAATGGCGGAGGCCACCTGCTCCACGGTGACGTGAAGATCTGGCAGAACCTCGCTTGTGGACAGACGCATGGTTGTGGCGGCCTCAATGTTGGCGCCGTTTTCCCTCTTGTACATCCATTCGTACGACACCTGACCGTCTTCTCGAGTCCGCAGGAGAACAATAAGCCATGCCGTGAGCAATATCTCTATTGTTGTCGTCGGGGTTGCGGGGGAGGCCGGCTCCGGGGAAATGCCAACGATCTCCACTGACACAACGTTATGATCCTTCATCTGGGTAGTTAGCAATGCACCGTTGCCTTGCTCAAGACCCGGGCCTCCGTCCATGGCCTCGAGCTGATACACCGATCCCATTTTGGCTGTTCTGGTGACCCGTGAAGTGGCCTAACTGCAAAGAAGAAAAAAAAAGAAATGAACACTTGAACTGTTGTGCAGTCCACCAAACCCACTAGAACACAAATTGGAAGCGGCGGAACCCAAGCACGGATAAAGGGGGTATCATACAAAATGCATTGCTCTGAGGACGACCGCTCTCGCTACAAGAATCAGGGGTGTGCTTGACCACAATACCCGCAAATGCAATGCTTCTAGGAATACCACGGGGGCACCATGACGGGGCCCGGAAAACCAGCCCAGCGGACATCACCTACAATGCCAAAGCCTCAAGGAGACATAACCGAGGTCGGTCACAGTAAGTCTCTGCGGGCCGAGTCCACAACTTGGAACGGTGAGTGGAGTGTTTAGGGGTGTGGGTGCAAAAGAAAAATCAGATAACCCCCAACCGAATGGCGGGAGACACACCAAGTACACAGTAATGGCCATACGGTGTCCACATTTGGCTTCTTACCTGATCGGGTCGTGTCCCGGGGACGGTTAAAAACAGCAGCTCCCCACATCTTTTGGACAACCCCATCATGGTGGCGTACACTAGAACCATGGTTCTTCCAACCACAGCATCCGCCCATCCTTCTCGCCGAGTCCCCCCGAGGCCTCGGCTAGAAAACTATTTTCAATGACACATAAATTGTCCTGAAGGGGCTTGTTCCTTGTATTTTCCCCTCTTCCCGAAAGTTCAACCAGGACCCCATGTCCAGAACCCCCAACGAGTAATCTTATCAATCAGATCACATCAGATTAAGCCAGACGTGGGGACTCGGATGCTCGGTTGAGGGGGGAGAGCCCAGGCTCCCAATCCCGAAGAAAGCCACATGAACCCGGTCAAGGACACGCCATGGAGCAAGACCGATGTCGGGGAA